AGAAACGCACTGCGCACTCTCGGGAGATGTACAGTAACCAGGGGCAACTTAGTTTTTATGCCGAAGTTTTGATCCTTGCATAAAATCTCAAAAGTTATGAAAATACTGCAAAGTTAAGATTCTTCTTCTAAACAAATATCACTCTAGCATGAATTTTGGAATAATTAAACGAAAAAGCTTCTAAAATGTGCAAATGAATTTTCAAAGCTATGTAACCGGCAATCCATGCCAGGTGAGCTTCGTTTTGAGTAGCAGGGCAAAGTTTCTATCATGAGATTACATAAAGGTAAATCGCTGGAAATGTATAAAACGGCTTCTTGGTGACTGTTTCAATGGACATGAAAAAGGCCGAGGATTACAACTCCCATCGAGTTGCAAAATATGGCGTCGCTGCACATTGCCTATTGCTCTAAAGGGGGGGGGATCGGAGGTTATTGCTAGTTCATACCAGGGAAGATGAAGGGACTTCCGTTCCAAATACCGTACACGTCAATAAGTATGTAACACACGGACAAGAGAATAAAAGCCATTGCACCCGTTGCAAAGATGAATGACACTGACCTGCAAGACAGACAGACATATCGATGAGTCAGGTTTGTATTTAGCATACTGATACAGACAAAGCATTTGTGAATTAGCAAAACTAACTAAAAACACAATTAACAGCAAACTAAGGTATACTATTCAACGTGTTCTTTGTTATTTGCGCCAACGAAGTCGTATTTTTGATCTAGAGTGGTTTCCTTTGACCGCAAGAGAATAATAGTAGACTGAACTTTCATTGTTTTTSTTTCTTCTCTATAACTAGGACAAACTAGCTAGTCCAGTCCCTTCACGGTAGTCGGAAAACCACAAACTCTAATGAATCAAATGCAGCATTGGATAAACGTACCACAGGTTTTTGTTGATAGGAATAACACCTTCATTTTTAGTCCCGCCAGACAGCCCTATTGCCAAGCAACCCTACACAGAATTGACAAAAGAACATGTTAACCTTTGCAGCTACTCATCGTCAAAAGTTATCGACCAATAATAATCATATTTTAATAATAATGGTTTAATCACGAATCCACTAGATGGTMCTTCATCTCACACACTCTACCTCAACATTAACTGTTTTAGCATAGACACTCTTCACAGCTGGTTTTTGACCTGAGGGAGAAAAACCAGCGGACCTGGAGAAAAACCCTCGGAGCAAGGAAGAAAACTAGCCTACAAACTCAAATCACATATAGTCCCGGACCGGGAATTGATCACCGAWAGGATTAAGTATGTATCGTATACTCCAAAGAGGTAAGACGTACAACTTGAATAGTGTATTTTGTGACTAATGCGTGTCAAAAACACCTTACCAATATGACAGACCATACAAGCCAGCGTGATATCCTGGCGCGGTGAGATGAGTAGGTATATAAGATGCTACCAGCCTAGATAGAGGTTAAACACCAGCTATAATATCTCTACTATGATCCTTGCAATTAGATATTAAAAACAGCCACGACATTGCTTACCTGGACACCAAGGAATACCAGGAAGATTGACGTTAATGTCCCAAGTGCTCCCTCAGGATCGTGATATATTTTTACTCTGTACAAGTCCTGTACATGAAACACGTGATTAGCACAACGTACTTA